ATTTAAAAAACTATTGAATTTGAGATTAAAAACACTTAAGACCTAGCCCCGGAGCATCGCCCAGGTCTAAGAGCTAGTTTTATTTTAATTCTGGATTCTGTGTAGTGTGTAGCACATGAAATTCACTGATTATAGAAAAACACAGTAAAATAGATTCAAACTTCGATTTTAGCATTATCCATGACATTTAATAATTTTAATAATAAATATTTAATCAATATAAATCATTAATTTAATATTTACTATTATATAAGGCTCTCATTCATTACAGAAAATTCAACATAGTGTATCTAAAGAAGGCCAATGTAACAAGCTAAATTGAAGATATGAAATCAACATACTAATTTTATTTAAAACCAGCACTTTACACTGTCACTATAGCTTAAATTATTATTTTTATCTTTCTATCTGTAAGCAGAAAAAACATCGTAACATACAAAAGTCTACAGATAAGGCAAAAAACCTTTGATCATATATCATGTTTCTGACTTTGTCATGCAACTATCTAATCAAATAATCGGTGACATATAAATTTGTTTAAATTACATGCTTGTTTAAATTTCTCCTCCCCCCTCGCCCGAACCCAAAATTTTGACGTTAAACAACTAATCAACTTTGAACGGCCTTATTATTAATATTTGCCGTCACCAATGCTTATTTAATTTCAGTTTAATAGTGAGTATAAAAGCCAATAATAAATTTACTTGAATATTCTATTTAGGATTCACTAAATTTTTTCTCAAATATTGAATAAGATGGGTGGCGCGAAGCGCCATCCATCGCACTAGTCCTATTTATGTATGGGTTTAACATTCCCTATAAATATAGATGTAATAAAAAGTAATACACTATATAGCGTAAGCAGCTCAAAGGTGAATCGAAATGTTAATATATAAGCACGAATAACTAAAGTTCGTGTATCTGGTGGTAATGATTGTATAGTATATACAGATTGTGTTGAAAAATATGAAGGTAAAGTTAAAGTACTTAATAATTGAGAAAGTTTAATATTAAATACTATTCCTGAGATTGTAATTCCAAAAACAGCTCCAACTAAAAAGAAATATATGAATAATTAGTAAAATAATTTTGTCAAAAACTATACTTTTTTTTTTTGAATACTTACTGTTTCTAAAGAAATACGATAAAGTAGTTACAGAAGCTATATACTTGCGCTCAATCAAACATTGAACACATAATATAGAAGATTGAACTGTTAAACCAATTCCAAAACCACTAATTATCATGCATACACTTAATTCAATATATCCGGTGTTTTCATCCCAAATAGTGGTTAATCCGTTACCAGCAATTACCAATAAAGAAGCAAATATAATCACTAATTGAAACGATATTTTATCAGTATGCGAGAATAATTGACCAGATAGGAATGAGGCTACTGTTACACCAAGAGCAAAAGGTATGAAATTTAATCCGGATTGTGTGGCTGTTTAAATAAAAACCAAAGAAAAATTTAAGCTATTAAATTTATTTAATTTTTAGTGAGAGAACATGAGATTTAGTCGATAGATAGGCATACCTGAATCTGCTTTTACAACTTGGAAATAAAGAGGAGTATAAAAGCAACAACTATATAAAACCGCTCCTATGAAAATGTTCAAAAGGAAACACGAAACTACATTAAAATTTTTAAATAAATGAGCTATTTAAAAAAAATTGGTTTAAATGTCAATAATATAATATATTAGTTATTATGATAACTTCTGAAAATAAATTAAGCTATGAATACTTACGTGGAACAACGGGCTCATCAACGATGAAAATTTCAACAAGAGCAAATATTATGTAACCAAGTATTCCGACACATAGAAGTACTATAATCATAGGACTATCCCAAGTATAAAGATTACCACCCCAGTTAAGAGATAATAAGATACAAACAGTTGATGACATCATTATAATGATGCCAATAATATCAATTCTTTTAAATTTATCAAGTAATGAACCAGTTGGTTTTGGCAGATAAAGAAGAAAAATTATGATGATTAATGCTATTACACCTGTAGGTAAGTTGATGAAGAAACACCATCTGTTTTTGAAAAAAAATAAATTGAAGAAAAAATTTTTTATGATTAATACAGTATAAAATGATGATAGTACAATCAGAGCTTTTGCATCAATAAGATAACCACGAATGACTTAGGTTTCACTTTAAAAAATTTGCATACCTCCAATTAATATAATCAGTAAAAACACCACCCAATAGTGGTCCTACTACGGAAGAAATGCTATAGCAGGCGGCAATAATACCTTGGTACTTTGCCCGATCTTTAAAGCTAACAATTTCTGATATAATAATTATAACGAGACTAAAAATAAAAATAAAAAAAGCCATCATGCATAAGAATTTGATATAAATCGATATTACAATGAAAAGATGTACCTAGTAATACCACCGCCTCCAATACCAGCAATTGCACGGTATATTATCAACGAAATCTGAAAAATAAAGTGATCAAAATTTGAAAGAATTGAAAAGTAAAAAAATAAGATAATTATATTACCATATTAGTAGCAACACCACATAAAAAACTGCCCAATAAAAAAATGGCGACTGCAAATATGAAAGTTGCTTTAGGACCAAAAATATCGGATAATTTTCCATACATTGGTTGAAAGGAAACCTGTGCCAATAACGTGATTCACGTGAGTGTCATATGATTTATAATTTTCCGATAGCTATTTTCCATTTACCCGATATCACATATAACATTTTAGCATTTTAGTTGCAGGTAAATTTGCTAGTAAATTGCCACTTTATATGATGCCAGGTAAATGGCCTGTTGGGAAAAATGGCCATTGAAGAGATTTCAAACCAATATATAATACGTATTACCTCCGTAATTATATAAGAAATTGCAACCAATGCGAATTGGTCCAATCCATTAAAATCGGAAACTATTTTAGGTAAAGCGGTGGAAATGATTAAAACATCTAATGCGGCTAAGAATATAGAACAACTTAGACTATATTATCAAAAGTACAATTAAAATTAATAACTTGATCATATAATGAAAGCTCCAGAATATTAATCGCTACGAACCCAAAAGTAACTAAAAATAATTTAGTCCCATGCAATAAGGTATCGTTAGACGATGGTAAGCTAATGTCGACAGCATGATCATCGATATTTTTCACTGTTTTTGTGTCTATATTTGCATTTGATGATAACGTTGACTGATCTATTTCATCGTTTAACATGGATTGGTTTCGTGACATCTTTTTTTTTTTGCGCCTGTTTTATTATTATTACCATTATATATATATACCATTCCTATTAAACTACTTAGTAATTTTTAGCAGAAATTAAACGAGTAAAATTAATCGAAAAAAATTTAGTCAAAAATTAACCGAAAACAAGAATTTACAGGTAATGAATGATGTGCCACTTACTTGTACGCACTACAATATTAACTATATTAACTGAATATGCTCGCGAATAATACAAAGCCAAAAAGGAAATTATGAAATGAAAATAAAGTACATGAAAATAGAAATTTAAGGCTAGGGCGTTAATTTAAAGAGATATAGGAATAAAGGTGTCACTTCTTGTTTAAACATTAATTTTCGGGTATTTTCTACGTGTTCTGATTCTATGTCTGGTTGATAAGGCTGTTTCTCTTTTAGGAATAGTGTAACATTTAAATAATAAAACTTGCCTTGGGGGTGAGGTTATAGTTAGCGGTAGAATTAATTTGGCAAATTAATACGGCAACGGTATGTGCCGTATTATTTACCGTAATTCTGTAGTGCCGTAATGCCGTAATACCGTAACGATGTAATGTCATTGTGTAGAAATACTGTAACGCAGTAAAAATATTAGCAAACTTTCGGTATTGGGTTTGTAAAATGCATCTTCAATTTCTGTGACTAAAAAATATACGATTTCTATTTAGTGTAAGTTTTATTACATTTTTATTACGTTTATGTATAATTTAAGGGATAATTAACAATAACAATACAAAAATTTTGGATCGTTATGGTTAATTACTCCCTAAATTATTTTTATATACTTATTTAATCCCAATTTCGCAAATCTGCCGATATGAACTTTAAGTACTTTCAACCATGAAATAAATTTATTAATTTCCGAAACAAAGGCCAGTCAATAAGTGAGAAAAAAAAATTCCAGGTGGGTTCCGGATGTAGGATAAGAGCATAAGCAAAAAATTCTAAAACATCCAATTGCTCAGTATTGAAGTTGTCAATTAGTAAATACGACATATCGCACTTTAAATTTAACTTTACCGCTACTTTGAAGCATATGAAATATTGCACTTTAAATTAAACCTTATTTATCGTTACTTAGAAGTATATACTGTAACATATCGCACCTTAAATTTAGCTTTGTTTACTGTCTCTTAGAAGTATATGACTTATTGCGCTTTAAATTTAATTTTTATGTATGACGCAGTATAATAAATTCTAATCACTCGTAATAAAATAAATTCGCATAGTAGTTTAATTATAGAAGTAAATGCTATATATGAGTTTAGTGCAGTAATAAATCAAATTTAATCTTATTTTTGAGCACTTTACTTTTGAGAGACTTCAACGTATCAAAAAAGGTTCAAGAACACAAGAACTAATATTTGAAGAAAAGTGACTTATAGACAATTTTTAATTAATTTCACATTTAATATTGCTATTTAATTTATTTTCATAATCCAGGCAGATCAGTTTTAGAAGTTATATGTACTTTTTTAAATTAAAATAGTTTATGTATTTTTTTATAGCGTCTTCTAAGTGATTGGAATATTTAGATGTAACGAGTATTAATTATTTAAATTGAAATTTTTGTGATCAAATGAGAATAATTTTTTTATGTAAATTATATAATTACATCATAACCTAATTCATAGTGCTAAATTGGTCAAATTGAATCTAAGAACCGATTTTACAAAGTTAATGACCTTTTGCTTCCATTAGACAGATAAGTATATAATAATTATACGCCTACGCTAAAAATTTTATTAATATCCTACAAATAATTAGATTTCTTTAAAACGTGTTTGCAAATACAACAAAGCGGCGTTCCGGAACCCAACGGACTCCGTTTTCCTAGTTAGATTAAATACCTTTCAGCCATGGATCTCTATCATTTTCCCGACAAGAATTGACCGGAACTAACACCAACCCTAATCTTTTTGATATTGTCAGGAAAGTGGTTGTTCGGAAAATGATAGGATCCCTTTAGCCATTATGTATACGATGTTTGTAAAGTTGTACAGTACTCTCAGAAAATATATCACGGTTACACGAAAAAACAACATAAATTTTCTAAACATGTAAATTTATTGCTTAGCAAATTAATAATAAATATCGATATATCAATTCAGCAATATATCATTACAATACATATGTTGAAGATAATGCATCAGTATTTGCAGCCATAACCTCCATTAGAAATAACTTCAGCATCTAGCCTTTCCTATTCCTCTAAAAACGTTGTCTTCAATTTTTCATATGTTCTTGGGGATGGTCTTCGTTGCTGTATTCTACGTATCTTTTTTTAGCATATTCCATATGTGCTTTTTATGTAACC